AACAAAAAAATCCTAAAAATTTTCTAATTTTTTAGCAGAACAATTTTCGAAGTTTTAAAAATGCCAAAGAAGTGCTATAAGGATCTACCAATACTAAATTTTCTGAAGTAAAAAATAAATTTGTATTAGACAAGTACTTTTGTATAAGACAACTAGCGCGCTCGCTTTACTAAATTGCAAACAGGTTTTTCTCGAAACTGTGATTATTTTTTTAAATGTCGTTCGAATCACGACAGAAAATGTCTTAAAATGATATATAATTCGACAAGTTTCAATGATTTTCTGCGAAACCTGAGTTTGCGTGGGTAACGAAAGGAAATAGAAAAAAGCCGACGTGTTTTTTGAAAGAAATTCAACTACAAATTTCAAAGAAAATCGTTAATGGCCGTAAAGCTCTCTGAATTTTAAGAATAATTTCTCTTGACTTTTTTTGATTAAATTTACCCATTTTGAGCAAGTTGTAAAAAAAAACGATGACAAAAATGCATTCATCCACTTTGATTGAGCCGTAGTGAACAGCAGAACTCAAAAAAAGTGAGACCAAAACGAACCATGAATTAGACTAAAAAGACGAGGAACGCATAATGACCGAAATATGCTGACTTTTTCAAAAAAAAAGCTCTGTGCAACTAATTTGCTGACTCTTTCTAAAATTTCATGACATTTGCCATCTACTGACATTTGTTATCAAATGAAGCATACAAAATTATTCCAATATCACATTCAAAACTAAAGCAGAAAAAGCCATTCAAAGTCAGCTTTGTACAATTCTAAACAGGGGATGTGTCAGTTAAAATTGATCAGGGAAAAATTGATGTGTGGGACTTTCGTTTGTCTGCAACTTCTTTAATTTCCAAAAAGTGGAACTTTTTTGACAATTTTTACTAGAATTGAAAGACGTTCTGTTATTTGTAAATGTTTTTTTTTCGAAATTTGCTTTTACCTTTTTTGTCGATCAAATGGTTTCTGCTTGTATTGTCGGCTTAGCTACCTTATTTTGTATAATTTGAAGAAACAAATGACATTTTATCATTTTGAGTATTTCAGCGGGTAAAAAAGCTTTAAGTTCAACCTTAATCTCTCAAAAAAAATAACGGCAACAATTGCTGATGACAATTTCATGTTTTCGGAATAGCCTGCGTCTACTCAAGTATTGTCGGCTTATTAACCGTTCGGCAAATAAAAGCTTATATAATGCTGAAGGACTTACGAATTAACATAGAATAAACAAAGACTTAAAATTGACAAAGACTTAAGATTTATGTAATCAGCATTCACTTTCAAAAATTAATTTGACAAAACTTTATTTCATACTCGTTAGTTTGTATAGGTTATTTGTTATTAGAAGCTCACTTTTCAATCCCGAAAAAAAAGATAATATCAAACCATACTGCATTCGCAAAATTCTTAACTACTTGAAAAGCAACTGCCTAAATCTCAGTAAAATTGGACTAACCCAAAATAAAACAAGGATAGCTGGTTGCTGCTCAAGTAGCACAGAATGTTCCGACCACTTTCATCAAAAAAACTTGATCAAAACTGTTTTTTAAGTAGTTTTGTTTACTGTGCGTGTTGTGATGAAAGAACTATACGAACGAACGCGAATAATGTTAGTGATTTAGGCATAACTGACAACTTTTCTTCGAAAATGAATACTAAGCAAAAAACAAAAAAATCCTAAAAATTTTCTATAATTTTAGCAGAACAATTTTCGAAGTTTTAAAAATGCCAAAGAAGTGCTATAAGGATCTACCAATACTAAATTTTCTGGAGTAAAAAATAAATGTTGTACTTTTGTATAAGACAACTAGCGCGCTCGCTTTACTAAATTGCAAACCGGTTTTCTCGGAACTGTGATTTTTTTTTAAATGTCGTTCGAATCACGACAGAAAATGTCTTAAAATGATAAATAATTCGACAAGTTTCAATGATTTTCTGCGAAACCTGAGTTTGCGTGGGTAACGAAAGAAAATAGAAAAAAGCCGACTTGTTTTTTGAAAGAAATTCAACTACGAATTTCAAAGAAAATCGCTGATGGCCGTAAAGCTCTCCGAATTTTAAGAATAATTTATCTTGACTTTTTTTGATTAAATTTACCCTCTTTGAGCAAGTTGTAAAAAAACGATGATGTTAATTGTAAACAATTAAGGTCACCTTTCTCTCAACTTGACTTTTGACATTACAGCCAAGCTGACTGACTCGTTTCACTCAACTTTTCAAAAACAGCATGACTTACAAGGAAACTTACAAGGAAATGACAAACTTTCAGGTAAAATAATGTTTCAATTTATACGAAAACTCGGGATTAATATCAACTTTTCTGAATAACCCCCTTATTAACAGTTCCCCTTTTCTAACGTTCGCCTTTAGTATTCCCCGTACCATGTAATATAATATCCCTATTTATGATATTATATTTACCTTAGTTTTATCCCTGAGTTACTATTGTATTATTTTTCATGTACTTACTCAACTGATGCCCAACTGCATGGAACTCCTTTGACTCAACCCTTAAAACTACCCTTACTAACAATTGGTGTATTACTCTCCTCAGGTAATTTATCCAAATATTTATATTGGCGCCCCGAAAAAGTTTTGATTAGCTCGTTACACTGTGTTTTTTATTCCCCCACAACCAAAAATTTATGGTTAGTTACTGTTTTTCCTCCCCAGTTTTTACGTCTGCGGTTTATTATATCTTGTTATAATACTTCCCCATTACAATATTATTTCATTTATTTACAGTTAATCGCAGTTTATTTGATTTACATTTAAAAAAAAAAAAAAGATCAATTATTGCTCTTGATTTCTAACCCATGTAAACTTTAAACGTTTCAATTGTTCATAGCTTCATTTACTTTGAATAATGTATTAAGTTATTTTCATCAATTTTCCCCTTTCAATTCGTTTTTTGTTGCTTTGCTATTCCGAGTCTTTTGTGACTCATTTATGAAAAAACTTCAGTTTTCCCGACTCATTTTTCATTCCGTTCAGAGTCTTTATTGCCTTTTGCGTTCCTTTCCGAGTCTTTTCTGACTCAATGTTTCATTCCTTTCCGAGTCTTTCTCGACCCATTTGTTGTTCGTTTCCGAGTCTTTCCCTACTCATTCATTCATTCCTTCCGAGTCTTATCTGACGCCTTGTATATTCCTTCCGAGCCTTTCTTGGCCCTTTGCTTCCTTCATTGCTTCCTTCCTTCAAGTGTTTTCTGACACTTTTGCTTTCTTATTGCCCGACTCCTTGGTTACCTGATTCGAGTTCTTTTTGGACTCTCAATTTTCGTCATTGTTCTTCGACATGACATTTGTTTGAGCTTTATCTGAGCTCACTTATTCCGCTTGCTTCGAGCCTCACTGGGTTCGTGGCTACATTCGAGCTTCGTCTTAGCTCACCTTATTTTCTGCTTTGAGCCTCTCGGTTCTTGGCTACTTCCTGTCGAGCTTTACCTGAGCTCATTTCCTCTGCTGCTTCGAGCCTCACTGGGTTCGTGGCTACATTCGAGCTTCGTCTTAGCTCACCTTATTTTCTCCTTTGAGCCTCTCGGTTCTTGGCTACTTCCTGTCGAGCTTTACCTGAGCTCATTTCCTCTGCTGCTTCGAGCCTCACTGGGTTCGTGGCTACATTCGAGCTTCGTCTTAGCTCACCTTATTTTCTCCTTTGAGCCTCTCGGTTCTTGGCTGCTTCCTGTCGAGCTTTACCTGAGCTCATTTCCTCTGCTGCTTCGAGCCTCACTGGGTTCGTGGCTACATTCGAGCTTCGTCTTAGCTCACCTTATTTTCTCCTTTGAGCCTCTCGGTTCTTGGCTGCTTCCTGTCGAGCTTTACCTGAGCTCATTTCCTCTGCTGCTTCGAGCCTCACTGGGTTCGTGGCTACATTCGAGCTTCGTCTTAGCTCACCTTATTTACTGCTTTGAGCCTCTCGGTTCTTGGCTGCTTCCTGTCGAGCTTTACCTGAGCTCATTTCCTCTGCTGCTTCGAGCCTCACTGGGTTCGTGGCTACATTCGAGCTTCGTCTTAGCTCACCTTATTTTCTGCTTTGAGCCTCTCGGTTCTTGGCTGCTTCCTGTCGAGCTTTACCTGAGCTCATTCCTCTGCTGCTTCGAGCCTCACTGGGTTCGTGGCTACATTCGAGCTTCGTCTTAGCTCACCTTATTTTCTGCTTTGAGCCTCTCGGTTCTTGGCTGCTTCCTGTCGAGCTTTACCTGAGCTCATTCCTCTGCTGCTTCGAGCCTCACTGGGTTCGTGGCTACATTCGAGCTTCGTCTTAGCTCACCTTATTTTCTGCTTTGAGCCTCTCGGTTCTTGGCTGCTTCCTGTCGAGCTTACCTGAGCTCATTTCCTCTGCTGCTTCGAGCCTCACTGGGTTCGTGGCTACATTCGAGCTTCGTTTAGCTCATCAACTGCTTCGAACAACTCTAGTTCGTCTCATTCGCTACGCTACAGCGATAAAGGCAAGTTGTCCTCTGGGAGGTCAACTGGTATAAGTGCAAATTTTATTGCACAGGGATAAATCTACGGTATTAGGACAGGTAGGTAAACAGGTACATCAACTTTAGTTGTCCTCTGGGAGGTCAGCAATCACAATTCGGTCGTCTGCTAAATAGCGACAGGTAGGTAGGTAAATACGTCATCCTCAGTTGTCCTCTGGGAGGTCAACACTCATTGGTGCTAATCTTTGCACCCGGTTTTTTTTTGCCGTTTATACTGGTAATTGGTAGGTAGGTAGGATCGGTAGGCTGGTAGGACCAGGTAGGTTCTTGGACTAGCTTTAAAATCGCATTTAATTGTTAATACCGAGGACACTTTGAACGACCGCTCAATTTTCCCTCGGAGGTAGGTACAAGTGGTAAGGTACAGTGGTAATTGGTTAAACTTTATCCATTATTTCGCTCCTTCTTACGAGCATCGGTGGTATTCGGTATAAGTTGGTAGGTTGGTAAAGGTAAATTCATATTCTGGTATAAGTTGGTAGGTATTGGTTTACGTCTCCTGGTTCAAGGTATGGCCCCATCCGGTAGAAATAAAACGACGCAAAACAATGACAGCGATCCTTCGGAACAAAATGGTACCCAAACGCAAGATACCAATCAAAACGTTCAAGAGACTGGCGTTCGAAAACTGGTTTCGCTTCGACGTCATCACGAAATGGAGATCAATACTTTGATCGACATGCTCGAAAACAACATCTACGAGGAAGAAGATGATCTTGAACTCATCAATGAAACGTTCACTGAATTGTCTCAATTCCAACAAAAACTTGATACCCTGAACGATCAAATGTTACAGGCTGGTTCTGAACACGATTTTGAAGAACATTCTCACTGGACAGTACAGTTGAAACAGAAAATCCGAGTATTTTCAATGAAAGTGAAAAAATATTTGAAAAAACAAGTATCAAATCCTGCTACTTCTACAATTCCAAATAACAGCGCTCAAGAAAATGCTACTTCAATTTTCCCACAGGAAACCGCAACCTCCATGCCGACTGCAAACATAATGGATATACCAAACAACAACCTTATAACCATGAGCAACAATACTCAAGGCAATGCAAGAACAGCTGCCTCTGACGACAACCTTTCGGCGCCATTTCAAGGCGACCAATCATTTTCAAATCCATTTGCTAGTGATGTTCCTAACCACAGCTCACAACAAGCTAGTGCTGCAAACCCTCCTAACAACAACAATCGAGCTTTGGCAACTAATCCAAGCGACACTTCTACTACATTCAGTCGATCAGTGCCAAAACTGAAGCCTACAATTTTCAATGGCAATCCAAACTATTGGTTGCACTGGTATGGTGTATTCGTATCATCGATTCATAATTCTAATATGTCTCCAACTGAAAAGATGATCCATCTTCAATCATTGGTAACTGGCCCAGCTAAACTAATGATAGCTGGTTATGGTGCAAACGGCGACACATACGAACTAGCACTACAACGTCTTCGTGAAAACTTTGGCAATACCAATAGAATTGTCAACTCTTTTTTGCAACGTCTTGCAAATTTCAAACCTCCAAATCTGGCTCAACCAGAATCATACATGCAGTTTTCTGCTTTTCTCCTAACTTTAGTGGACACTTTTGAGCAACTTGGTTTTGTTCACGATATTTGTTCTACAACAAACTTGAACACTGCTCTGGCAAAGCTTCCCGACCCTGTGAGATTAGAATGGAATCGCTTCGTCATCGACAAAGACTACGATCAACCCTCCTTGAGACATCTAGCACAATGGTTTCAACGGTACGCACAGGCGTGTCGCGACATGCCTCCGACAGGTTTCCGAAACCAAAACAATAACAATTTTAACAATTCTTCTGGAAACGCTAAACACCCTAGTGGTTCCCGTTTCAATGGTTTTACTACAAATGGTGTAGGAAATCAAAATCAGCGCTTTAACCATCAGGGAGATCAACAAAACTCTCGTGCTCAGAATAATGTAAACTCGAATGCTTGTCCTAGTGGAGACACCTGTGGACCTCTCTACAAATGCGAGCACTTCAAAGCCTTAGACCCTAAGCAACGAAAAGAGCATGCCCGAAAAATGCACTTATGCTTTAACTGTCTAGGGAATCATAGGTTTACTGACTGCAATTCGAAATCGCTCTGTCGAACCGATAATTGTGGTAAAAAACACCACACTCTACTCCACGATCCTTCTGATACTTATGGAAAAAACCCTAGTAAAGCTGCAGTGAATCGCGCAATAGCTTGTCAGAGATCAGGTCAATCAGCTTTTGTACCAATCGAATTATCAAATGGTGATAAAACACTTTGTACCTACGCTTTCTTAGATAGTGGTAGCTGCGTAACTCTACTACTGGACTCAGTGGCAACTCAACTAGGCTTGGACGTCAACAAGAAGCACTCACTTCCCATATCTGGATATCATGAGACCAAGTCAGTTCAAGTTACATCTGTGGATGTACAAATTAGACCATACAAAAGCACATCGACTCCAATGACGCTCGATGACGTACTCACGGTAGATGAAAATAATTTGGCCCCAGTTGATATTTTTCAACTAAACGCAATGTGCAACAATTTTCCACATTTAAAGCATGTTAAATACCCGGACTTAAACGACAATAGCATATCGCTAGTCATCGGAAACAACAATCCAGAATATCATGAGATCAAAAATACCGTTTATGGCCCCAAGAATGTTCCCTGGGCTATCGAAACCCTTTTGGGATGGACATGCACAGGTCGGAACAAAACGCAATATAATTCCGTTCCATCTGTTCCGGTGAACTTCACACAAGTTCATTCACACAATAACTTAGATGAAAAATTATACCAGAAAGTTCTCAACTGGATGAAAATAGAAAACACAGGCATCGCTTCTTCAAAACGCTCGCACTCCAAATCGGATAAAAGAGCAATCGATATTCTCGAAAACTCTTGTACTTTAGTAGATGGTCACTATCAAATTGACCTTCTTTGGAAAGAGGATACTGATCTTCCAAATAACCGTTGGCTAGCTGAAAAGCAACTCAACAGCCTCGAATTTCGCCTTAAAATTAAACCTGATTTAAGGGAGAAATACCGCGCAACAGTCATCACTGACTTAGAAAAAGGCTTTGTCACCAAAATAGATGCAAAACATGACACTGCAATCAAATCTTGGTATTTGCCGCATCATCCAGTGACAAATGTCAACAAACCAGACAAAGTTAGACGAGTCTCAAATGCTTCCAGCATTTTTCAGGGTAAATCCCTCAACTCGAGTTTGCTCAAAGGGCCCGATCTTTTGTGCAACTTAACAGGTCTCATAATTCGCTTTCGACAAAATAAAATAGCAATATCTGCTGACATAGATGCTATGTTTATGCAAGTGCTAGTCAGCCCAAAGGATAGACCTTTTCTAAGATACCTTTGGAAAGAAAATGGTAAATTAGAAACTCACGAATATACACGACACATTTTCGGTGCCACAGACTCACCATGCGTGGCTTGCTACGCAGTACGACGATGTGCATCAGACAGTAAAAACGACTTTCCTCTGGCTTCTGAAATCATTCAACGGAATATCTACATGGATGATTTGTATGTCACTTCGTCAACGGTAGAAGAAGCCCTCCAACAAATGACACAACTACGAGGATCTTTATCTCGAGGTGGATTCAACTTGAATAAGTGGAACTCAAACAGTAAACCATTCCTGGATTCAATTGATCCAAATATTTTAGTCAGCCCTAATGATCCAACGCCTAAACATCAACGAGTTCTCGGTGTTCACTGGAATACCAACACTGACTGCTACTTCATCGATAACAAAAAGTTTGTAAAAATTCTACGTATTGGCATTGCTACGCAACGGAAACTCCTGAAGTATACCGCTTCTTTATTTGACCCACTCGGAATAGTGGCTCCATTGACAATTCGGATTCGAAAAGTTCTCCAATCTGTTTGGTCACAAGGTGTTAAGTGGGATACTCCATTAGACACGGATAAACTTCCCGATTTCAAACTTTGGGTAGACGAAATGGAAAATTTCGAAACTGTTTCATTCCAAAGGAACTTCTTTGATAAAGAAAACCCTGCTTCAATCCAGCTTCACACGTTTTGTGATGCATCAGAATTCGCTCTCGCTGCTGTTTGCTACCTAAGAATAGTCTACAGCGACGGCTCCACATCTTTGAAGTTTATAATAGGAAAGACAAGAGTCGCTCCTATGAAACGTGTTACAATTCCCAATCTCGAGTTGCAAGCTGCAGTATATGCTGCCCAACTATCGCTCTTTGTTTCAGAGGAAATTGACCTCAAAGTTGAAAAAACTTATTTCTGGTCTGACAGTACTACTGTTTTGTATTGGCTGCGAACACCTGAAATACGACACAAAATTTTCGTCGCTAATCGGCTTCAGAAAATTTTAGACGTTTCTAAACCTGAACAGTGGTTTCACGTTCCAACTCTGCTAAATCCTGCTGACGACGGTACCAGAGGATACATTGCTTTAGAAATGACCTCAAGCTGTCGGTGGCTACTAGGACCGGAATTTCTGTTGAACGATTCTTCTCAATGGCCTTCACAGGAAAACATTCGGCTTGAGAACATTCCTGTATTCGTTACTTCATTAGAGTCTAAATTTGAGCCTATATTTGACATCAAACGCTTCAGCAACTGGAAAAGACTAATACGGACAGTTGCATACTGCTTCTTATTCGCAGAAAATCTCAAACGGAAGATCAACAAACAGTCGAAGGTCGATCTTCAACTCTTGCATCTAACGAAATCGCACTTTCTCATAATTAAAACTGCCCAAAGGACAGATTTTGTCTCTTAAATTTCAGACATCAAAAAAGAAAAACCAATTGAAGGCAAAAGTAGACTTCGAACATTAGCACCGTTTGTGGACAACTTCGGTATCCTGCGTTCTCGTGGACGTCTCACGCGTGCCCCTATCATGCTATCAGCTAGATATCCAATCATTCTCGCTGGTGAAAACCCCAATGTTCGCCTGCTGTTAGCTAACATCCATGTTCTACATTCCCACTGCGGAAAGGAACAAGCAATTGCCATAGCACAGGAAAACTACTGGATTCTTCGCTGCCGCGTCATGCTGAAAAGTATCATACACAGTTGTATACCCTGCAGAAGAATGCAACAACAAGTCGACTACCCTCAGATGTCAGATCTTCCAATTGATCGACTGCCATCAAAAAATCATTTTCCTTTTGCAACGACTGGATTGGACTACGTTGGACCTTTTCCCATCATCCTTCAAGGAAAACAATACCAAGCGTATATTTTACTGTTCACATGCTTAGTGATCAGAGCTGTGCATCTTGAAATCTCATTAGGACTATCGACAGACAGCACTCTTCTTTGTATCAGACGCTTTTTTGCCCGGCGAGGAAAACCATCGAAAATGGTTTCTGATTGTGGGACAAGTTTTGTGGGCTCCAATTCTGAGCTGAAGAAATGTCTAGACAACTTGGAAAAGAACAAAGAATTTGTGGAAAGCATCAATCAGCTGGACGTATCACTCGAATGGAAATTCAACCCTCCTGCGGCCCCTCATTTTGGTGGTTCTTGGGAACGACTAGTTCAGATATTTAAACTTTCCCTGTACAAAGTCATCGGATCAAGAACACTCTCCTATGAAACACTGGCTACTTTCACGACCGAAATTGAATCAACCATGAATTCACGACCTTTAACCAATGTGTCTGACGACATCAAAGATGATCTGCCTCTCACTCCCAACCATTTCCTTCTTGGTCGTGGAACTCCAAATTTACCGCCTGGTATCTTCAAGGACAAGGATTTATCTCTGTCAAAATCATGGAAAGCATCCCAACTACTCGCAGATCACTTCTGGAATCGCTTTCTTCGAGAGTACTTACCAGGTCAGCAGAAACGATCAAAGTGGACTTCTGCGACTTCCAATTTGCAACCCGACGACATGGTCTGGATGTTGGAGGATTTTACACCTCGTGGACTGTGGCCTCTTGCTAAAGTGGTGGAAACCTTTCCTGGACAAGATGGAATAGTCCGCTCAGTGAAGCTGAAAACGCCAACTGGATTCAAAGTTCGACCTGTGGTCAAATTGAGCCGCGTTTTCCCAGTTTCGCAGTAACCAAGCTCCAAATAGCTAACCAACCAAATAATCACGCAACTCAGCCTTCAACATATCAACTCGACAAAGATGAACAAATCTACGACGTGTCAATTCAACTAAGACAATCAGCTCAACGATAGACAAACCAAGATGAAGATGAAAAAGAACAATTTCTGGTTCCCTTATCTACTGGTTCCCTTATCTTTGTATTTTACCGTATCCTTACTATTTTATTCAATACTTTATTTGCAAGCTCTGCAAATGTGGGCGGGTGTTAATTGTAAACAATTAAGGTCACCTTTCTCTCAACTTGACTTTTGACATTACAGCCAAGCTGACTGACTCGTTTCACTCAACTTTTCAAAAACAGCATGACTTACAAGGAAACTTACAAGGAAATGACAAACTTTCAGGTAAAATAATGTTTCAATTTATACGAAAACTCGGGATTAATATCAACTTTTCTGAATAACCCCCTTATTAACAGTTCCCCTTTTCTAACGTTCGCCTTTAGTATTCCCCGTACCATGTAATATAATATCCCTATTTATGATATTATATTTACCTTAGTTTTATCCCTGATTTACTATTGTATTATTTTTCATGTACTTACTCAACTGATGCCCAACTGCATGGAACTCCTTTGACTCAACCCTTAAAACTACCCTTACTAACAATTGGTGTATTACTCTCCTCAGGTAATTTATCCAAATATTTATAGATGACAATAATGCATTCATCCACTTTGCTTGAGCCGTTGTGAACTTCTCAGCAGAACTCAAATAAAAAGTGAGACCAAAACGAACCATGAATTAGACTAAAAAGACGAGGAACGCATAATGACCGAAATATGCTGACTTTTTCAAAAAAAAAAGCTCTGTGCAACTAATTTGCTGACTCTTTCTAAAATTTCATGACATTTGCCATCTACTGACATTTGTTATCAAATGAAGCATACAAAATTATTCCAATATCACATTCAAAACTAAAGCAGAAAGAGCCATTCAAAGTCAGCTTTGTACAATTCTAAACAGGGGCGGATCTAGGATTTTCTCAAGGGGAAGGGGCGGATTTTCAAAAATGTTGCCCACCTTTTTTCTAGATTGACCAAATTGAATTTCCGAGCATTTTCAGAACACTATAAAGACCCTATTTTGACTCAAAATGTTCCGCCGCAGGCAAATTTTAGAAAAAAAACAGGTCAAAAAGCCGGTTTCGGGCACTTTATGGAAAATTTTGACCAAAAATGGCGTTTTTCGGCGCGCGCTCCCCTTCAAAGTCAGTAAATATTGGCGCCGAAGGGTTGGTCGGCCGAAAATGGATGCCAAATAATAATACCAAAATGGGGACAATTTGATTGGTGAGGTGGTCGAATCCCTGTGAGAAGGTGGTGTCCGAACGCATCCCCCACTCTAAATCCGCCCCCTGATTCTAACAAACATCAAAACTATCCGCAGATCCGCTATACTCAGACAAATTTCACTTGATTTCTAAACTGCATAATTTTACCACCCTCTGTGCAAATCGAAATTAAAAGACGAATACCATTTATAATTGAACAACAAATATTACGCGAGTGTCTATGATAGCGGTGGCCCGGCGCCTGGCATTCAGCGGAATTTAACTTTTCGATCGTTTGCAGCTGTTTTAGCTTCGTATCTGCGGCGTTGTGAAGTTTGAGAAACATGTTTCGCTTTATTCGAGGCACTCGGCGGGCAGAGGTAGCTTTGGATGTTTGCTCTCGAAGTGCTGTTTGTATGTCTTAGCATCTCCTAGCTGTATCATGCACACACTACATTTGATAGTTAGTGCAGCCTCGGCCGTTTTTTTGTGGTCACCGGCCTTCCCTTTTTTCGCTTTCTGCTGCTTCTCCGCATTTTTCTGCTGTGACTGGATTTTTTGCTGACCACGCGCCATCGCAGTTCTACGCGTTCTCTTGGTGTACACTATTCTATTTAGTTTTAGCTGCTGTTTACACTAGACAGACAAACAGCCCGATCTGAAAATGTTTCATAATCATTAGGACATTCCTTACATCCTCTTTTCTTTAATCGGATTTTGGAAGCCAGAAGCCAATATAACAGAAGCCAATATAAAACCTGATAGTCCTCAAATTTTAAAGAAAAAAATCATGAGATTTCTTTTAAAAAAACTGGCAAAAGTTGAGACCGCGGAAAACTCAGCGAAGATCAGGGGCGGATCTAGGATTTTCTCGAGGGGGGGGCGGATTTTCAAAAAATTTTCCAAAATTTTGACGACCTTTTTTTTTTTTTTTTTTTGAATAAATTTTTGAAAAAACAGTCAAAAAAAGCCGTTTTTGGGCACTTTTTGAAAACTTTTGACAAAAAAATAGCGTTTTTTTTGGCGCGCGCTCCCCCTCAAAGTTAGTATATATTGGCGCCAAAGGCGCCTTTAGAAAAATGTTAGGGTCGGTCGGCCAAAAATGGATTTCTGAAAAAGTATCAAAGGGGGGACCCTTTGGGTCGGCAGGGGGTCGAATCCCTGAGGGGGGGGGGCTTCCGCCCGCCACCACCCCCCCACCTAAATCCGCCCCTGGCGAAGATCCACAAATATTTTCAAACTCGTAGTTCGGACCATTCTAGAAAGTGAGGGAAAGAACTATGGCGTAGGGCGGATTTTATTTTCAACCGATTTCGCCCTACCTCAAACAAAGCTTTTAAGTGCGCATGAGCTATCATATTAAAACCCTTTCATTCAAACTTGTATAAGAAACTTACAAAATTTGTGTCCAGAAAAATTGGTTTAGACAATTTAGACAAGAGCGGATAATTTCTCGTCTTTCCAATATTGATAATTGTCCAGAAAATAGTTAACTGTTGTGATTGAAAATTTAATTTATTAATCTGAGGATTTATCGTTGGCAGCATTATTCACGGTGTTTTGATTTTTATGTACCTTTTAAAATGATAGCTGTGCTTCTTGTAGACCGACCGGCTATTCTTGTTCATATATGCAACAAACAATGAATGACTTTCTTCAGGATATCAAATTTTTCCAGCAAACTTAAATGAAAATAGCGTGTACAGCACCTCCGGTTCTTCAAATTTATGACAACTCATAAAAAACCGCATATATTAAAACTTTCATATCTAAGTTCTTTGAACATTAAAAAACACGCCATATTTCGAAATATCATAAAACACGCCGTTTCTCGAAAACAACAAGTATTTTAGCAGCCATATGCAGAGGCAAGAGTCGCGACCCCTGAGAGTACCCTCACAGTTTCCAAGTACGGGATTGAGATCTTAAAAATTTTGCAAAATTTTTAAAAATTAATTTTTCTTGAAATTTTGGAAAAACCTGGTTATTCATATATGGTGGCCAAAATCAGAACAACTGGTGAAGCCCTAAAAGCATCCCAATATTGGTTTCTAAATTCAAACTTGGTTAAATAAACACTAAATCCAAACTGCAAAATCGAAAAAAAAATTATAGCCATTGCAATATACGATGTAGCTTAAACATGAAAAAACTCTTTTGATATACATGCAAAAAAATACGTTGCTTAAAGCTTAAACATGGCGAGATAGTGAAGCCCGCATTTAAAAATATAATAGATAAAATATTGAAAAAGTATCATCGCCCCTGTGATATCTTATTATGTGCTATGATCACTACTGTGATATAAAAATAAAATCCACGCTTGCGATCTACTCAGTAATCTCTCCTTATTAAATTTTCTTGAGTAAATTTTGATGATCACGTTTGCTATAATTTAAACAAAAATAGCCTGTTACTGTGCAAATAGCACAAAATGTCCCGATCATAGTTTTCAAAGAACTACAAGATAAAAGCTTTTTTCAAATTAGTGAAGTTTTTTTCTGCGTAGGGTGATTTAAAAAATCTGATCTAAAACTATACTTTAGACTTATTTGACATTCATAGCGATTTAGGCCAAAAGGACAAGAACTTTTTTAAAAAATTGACTGGAAAAACAAAAAATAAAAAAAATACAAAAATAAATTGCAGAAAATTTTCCACTTTTTTGAAGTTTTTGGTTCCCAAAATGGAGCTAGAAAAATTCAAACCCCAAGACCTTAAAGTACAGAGCCAACATTTTACCTCGCCCATTTTGCCAAGTGTGAAACAGTTTCGAAGTTGCTACGTTTGGCTAATAAAGTAACTTCAATTTCAACTTAAGAGCTAAGAAGTTGTTTACGAAAAGTAGTCTAGTTCCCGATTACAGGACACTTGCTTTCGCAAATGTAAAAAAACTTTCGAAATTATAACTCCGTCAGGTTTCTTTGTGCAATTTAGTTATTGGAGATCTTAATTTCTTGTTTTTTATCTTAAAGAATCAAAAGTTGGACTTTTTTGAATTGAATTAATTTTACACCGATACCGAGCTTCGCGCCACTTGCGATACAAAAGAAATTCGAAAAAAAAACCGGAAAAACTAGATATGAAACACAAATACTTAAAACGTTCTTTGCTTGTCGAATGCACCAATATGAGTTCATATAATGTAGACCAAAACCTATTAAACCGAAAAGAAAAATAAATAAGACTGGAAAAATTCAAAAAATTATGATTAATAAAAAGTTATCAAGTCCTCCTCACTCTCAAAACACACATGAAAATTTTTCGCTTGTCGAAAGAAGCAATATCAGGCACTTACGCCGCCTTTATATAGGCCGAAACCTATGAAGCGGAACACAAATGAAAAGCACCATTTTATTTGCACCAAAAAGAATGCTATAAGTACAGCCGATCGTACAACCAAAAACAAATGTTTGAACCAATTTTGTTACTTGACGTGATAAAAAACTAACAAAAAAACTGATTTTTTAACGATTTCTTTAAAGAGACTAGGAGGTTGATTTTAAGTTTTTCCCAATTTCATAAAGAACTCGATCACTACCATATAATACCAAAGAAAATTATTCAAAAAAACATAAGGAAAAGAAGCCGACAGAATTGAAGTCAACCAATCTCAGCGCAAAAAATGTATCAAATTTGGAATCCTACAAAAAAATTCATTTCTAGCTCTTAACGTAGAACAACTAAATGCCCTGTCGTAACTGCATGGAGCCTGCATGGAGTCGAGAAGAGATGAGTCCTGTGCCTGAAGTGATTTACGGGAAAAAAGTCGATTGCAATACCCTTGCTATCGCAAGAGCATTAAAAATACTAGCGTGTTATGCACCTCCGGTGCTTCGACTTTTTGACAACTCAAGAAAAACAGCATAAATTGGAAACCAGATCTGCAGGCTTTTAGTGTACTCTGACACCAGCCAATTACAGGGTTGGTAATTTCAAATTTTATGAACTTTTTTGAATTCCAATTTTCCGTCAAATCTCGAAAACGTCATATCTCAAAAAGTACAAATATTTGAGTAGTCATATTTTGGGGCAAGATTTACAACTCCTGGGAGTACCCTGGCAGCACCCAATTAGAGGCTAGGGATATTTAAACTTAGTGAATTTTTCTAAATCTAAATTTACTGAAAATTTTTGAAAAATCATAGCAAAACCTCATTTCTCGAAAACTACAACAATTTGAGCAGTGATATTCAGAGACAATATTTGCAACCTCTATGAGTACCGAAAAAGCACCCAACTACAGGGTTAAGAATTCCAAATAATTAAAAGAAAAATTCATTTTAAATTTTCTGAAAAACTTAGAAAAAATCACTTAAAACGCCGGATCTGGAAAACTACAAAGATTTGAGTAGTCATAATTGGAATAATGGTTCGTAACCCCTGAGAGGGTTCTGATAGCCCCCAAGTACAGGGTGGGGAATTCAAACTTCGAAGAAAAAAAATTTCGTTCAAGTTATCTAAAAAAAATTTGAAAAAATTACAAAAACGTCATATCACTAAAACTACAAGGATTTGAGCAGTCATATTCAAAGGCAAGATTGGCAATCCCTGAGATTACCCTGACAGCATCCAACTACAGGCTAAGGAATTTTGAACTTGGAAAAAAAAATTAATTTAACTTTTTTGAAAATTTTTTTGAAAAAATCACAAAAAACATAATATCTCGAAAACTACAAAGATTTGAGCAGTCATAATTAGAGGCAATTCTCGCAAGCATTGAGAGTACTCTGATATCCCCCAAATACAGGGTTCGGAATTTCAAATTTTGAAGAAAAAATTTCGTTTAAGTTTTGTAAAAAAAAATTTTGAAAAAAATCGCAGAAAACGTTATATCTCGAAAATTACAAGGATTTGAGCATTCATATTTGGAGGCAAGATTAGCAATTCCTGAAAGTACCCTGACAGCACCCTGCTACAGGGTAAAAAATTTCAAATTTTGAAAAAAAATATATTTTTTGAAAATTTTTAGAAAAAATCACAAAAAACGTCATATCTCGAAAACTACAAGGATTTGAGCCGTCACATTTGGAGGCAAAATTCGCAATCCTTGAAAGTACTCTGACAGCACCCAACAACAGGGTTAGGGGAAGTTTGCTAAATTATGTTGGAATTTGAGTTTTCTGAAAAAAATCACGTAAATCGTCGTATCTCTTACACTCTTACATAAGGATTTGAGCATTCTTAAATGGAGGCCAAATTTGCAACGTTTTGATGAATCCTGACAGCATCCCATTACTGGGCTGCTAATTTTAAACTCTATGGAATAACCACTGAATTCAAACTGGAAAATCGAAAAAATCTTAACCATTGCAATATACGATATATCTTAAACATGCAAAAATATTACGTTGAAAAAGCTTAAATGTGGCGAGATAGTGAAGCCCGCATTTAAATATATAATAGATAATTGATTATCTTAAAGCATTCTAAGAGCTTCAAGTCCATCTATTTGTTTGTTTTGAAATTCGAAAGCTGAAAAATTTCAAAACACAAGTCAAGTTTTTCGGTTTTCTAGCGTTCATTAACACTTCCAACTGTTCAAGCTTTCCAATTACGAAAGCCTCAATGGTGCAAACATACGTGAACAAATTCTAGTTTCGAAGAATGATTTTAATTTTAGATTTCCCAGCGGAGTAAAAAATCTACACTTGGTCTAGTTTTCTCAATTTGGTCACTTTTATAACATAACTCAAAAATGTGTCAATCGTAAATAATTCTTGAAACTCGAAGAGCCTGGAGGCCATCTATTTTTTTAAATTCAAAAGAAAACTACAAATTAACACGACCTAAATAAGTATCTTCACTGCTTTCCTTAACACTTGAAAAGCTCTAAGCCATCATATTTGTAAGATTTACTGCTTGACATAAATAGTTAACTATTCAATTTTAAAAAAGTTAGCGTGAAAAAATCTATTATCAATCTATTATCATTTTGATAAAAATTTCTAACACTTTAAACCTTTAGCTGCGTGCAACAACAAAGCTATATTATATAAATCTTTAAAGCATCTAAGCATCTTCGTAGAACTTTCAAGTCAAAAGTGCTTATTATGGAACGTGTCTCAATGAGCACCTATTAGACTATTCATATTTCAATTACATGAGAAACACTTTCGGTTAATTGGGAATTTACTGGTTGAGCTGTTGAGTCTCTGGCCATTGGAGTCCAGTTGGACCAGAGAGCGACTGGACATGAGGCGGCCTTCAGTGTCTGTGGTGACAGAGAGCACCTCTCCCTGGTTCTTGTAGATGAAGTCTGTCACCAGGATCTCCGCTATTTGCTGGAACGATCGCCACACTCCATCTCCAGTTTTCGCACTGCCTTCAAGATTAACTCAATTTAAAAAAAAACAAAAAAAAATAACTCATCTGCTTTTCAAAAAACAACAAGACAGCCAAATCGATAGTTGACTTGAAAACTCAGATACTTAACAAGGAGTGAATCTAGGAATTTCCCGAGCGTGGGAGATTTTAGAGTGGAAGATTTTCAAACACAGACGCGAAACGGGCCTTAGCATCACCTTGGTACAAAAAAAAATCACGTACGTAGCCGAAAGAAAATAAGGGGAAATAGAGGCTTAATGACTATTATTAACACAACGAAATAACTACGAATGTCACGAAAGCCAGTAAGGCGAAAAATTTAAAGCCGAAAAAAAATCAATTAGAATTTTTATACGTTTGTCTCGAGTAGGTTCATTTTAAGGAAAACACTTCGAAAAACAAAGTCAGTCTTAAATTCGCACTAAAGCTTTTACGCCGCACGCCTAACTAACATACATTTCCGCCGGAGTTAAGGAAATTAGACAAGCAAATTTTGAAATTTGAGCCATGAAAACTTAATTTTACTCGAGTAAAGCTGTTTTTTGAAATTTTTTAGCGCCATTTTGGTAATCAAAAACGCCAAAAACTGCAAAAAATGTCTCAAAACTTTATTACGATGTTTATTCACTTTTCTACAAAAACTGTTTTCCAATTGTCCTATGACTATCGAATATACCTTATTTCTATTTCACACCAGATAGAAAAAAAGACACTTAATATATATTTTTTAAGACTATGGTCGGAACATTGTGCTATTATCACAGTAACCTACTATCCTTCTTTACAATAATTTTTGATCAGTTCTATGATAGCAAACTCCTAGGCCCCATTTTACACAATGCGAGGCAACTAAAAATATGCCAAAATTTTTTTGAGCCATGAAGCCTTCACGGCGAAACAATTATAACAGACGGTTGAAAAACTGGCAATTAACTCAAGTAAAGCCGAACAAATGATTGATTTTTTTGCAAAGAAGATAAATATCACTATAAAGCTAACTTTATTTCCTGATCAAACTTTTCTAATAAAACACAAGACCAATCAGAGAACATAGCCAGCAGCGCATTGGAAAAGTCCCATTGAACTAAAGGAAAATGAAAAAGGAAAAACAACTGATTTTAATCCACATCTAAAATTTCAAATCAATTTTCGAGCGCACTTTCATCGCGGTTCTTGCACTTTTATAAATGGAATGCGTAACTCGCTTTCCTTTTAACAAAATAATGTAAATTGGCCCATAAAAAAAGAAATCACAAGTCAGACCGTGGAAGATCAACTTTGAGCGCTAACCAATTTTCCTGAAAAATACCGATGACCTACATAAGTGTCTTCACGATCAATGGATATTATTTCTATAAATTATTTATTAATAAAAAATTATATGTGGCAGCCGGCCCTCTCCTTCAACTATACATGTGCTACCTTCGAAGTAGTGTGCGTCGATGGACTTTGAAATGGCCACTGCCTCGTGTCTCTCTATCTCTCTCCTCTCCCTACCGGCATCCGTCTTGTTCCCTATGATAATCAGACGGGGGAAGTCGGCCACATCCTCTATCCGATCTATCCACTCGTGCAGGTTGGAGAACGTGGATCTAAATCCACAGATGAATGAGGGAAAAAAACCTGAGCTTTAAACAAATCAAACTTCCAAACGCAAAAAATCACATTTGAGCGTGATCAAAATTTAAAATATTTCCAGCAGGAGCGGATTTAGAATTTTCTCGAGGGGGGGGGGGGGCGTTTTCAAAAAAAAATTGTCGACCTTTTTTTAGGTCGACCAAATTTGATTTTTCGAGCTCTCCTAAAGCACTGTTTTGTCCGTTTCAGCCAAATTTTCTGCGCCGCCAAAAAAATGGCCAAAAAAGGCGGTTTTAAGCAGTTTTTGAAAAATGTTGACCAAAAAAATCGCTTTTTTTCGGCGCGCGCTCCCCCCTAATTAGAACATATTAGAATATATTGGCGCCGAAGGCACCTTCAGAAAATGTTTAGGGTACGTCACCAAATATGGATATCTCAAAATAATACAAAGTGGGACCCTTTGGGTCGGCAGGGGGTCGAATCCCTGAGGAGGGGGGCGTCCGATTTCCAGAAAAAAAAACGGATAAAAAATCCTCATAGCCTTTGTTCAATTTTTCACATGTCTTGTATCCAGATAAGCAACAGCTTACATTGCATCTCGAGTTTGTCCACATCTCTGATTTGAAGCAACAGCTATATATTGCATCGGGAAATTGAGTGAATAAAGAGTGTCGGGATGTGAACAAAAATCGAACAAAACACAATGGAAAAAAAATTAGTCTAACGCTATTTTAACATTTCTAATTTGTTTCGGTTGATTGTTCTAGGAAAGATATTGACCCAGTGCTTCAATTTCATATTTGACACAGAGGCGAAGTTGCGCTTCGCAATTACTTGCGAGAACACCAACAAAACGCAGCTCTATCAAGTGAAATAGAAAAAGTAGAAATAAGCCTCTGTCCAATTAGCAAAAAACTCGGCTACGTGTCGGATTCCAATCTGCGACCTAGCAAATTTGAATCTCACGCACTAACCACTCAGCCACGGAAGCTTAAAAGCCTCAAAAACCAGCCACCAATACCGCAGCTACATATTGCCAATTCGATGCAGCAAAAGTAGCACTAAATATAAAAAGACATAAAATTGCATGTAAAAAAATTGGAAAGCCTAAAAACCAAATTGTGTGTAAATTATGCATTTCAAAAAAATTGCGAGACTCATTGAGTTGGAACTTTTCTGAAACCGATCTTTTTATCATTGTACAGCTGTTTGAAACAAAAAAAAAATTTTCGGGTCATTTGATGAATTAAAACGCATCCGCTGCGTTAACTTTTTACTAATCAAATGTCAAAGCGCATATACTATTATACTGCAACCGCAGCCTACCGATTCAAAAGTGCCACCAAACGTAGCACTTTTATTTGCGACCTAGGTTTGAAAAAAAAAATAAAGTTCGTAATAATACTTATTGCTTCGCAAGTTTAAAAAGCTAGTGCAATATTTAAACACAGAGGTGAAGCTCCGCTTCGCAACAACTTGCGAGAACACGACAAAAAGCAGCTCTATAGAGTGCAATAAAAAAAATTAGAAATAAGCCTCGAATTAGTTTTAAAAATCGTGTACCTCAGAGATTCGAGACTGGGACATAGAGATTAAGATACTCACACAATAGCCACTCAGCCATGGAACCTTAATAGATGACAAACACTAGCAAAAAATAAAGACGAGAACAGATGCTATGCAATTTCCAATGCTACATTGAAATTTTCAAATAATGGAACACTTCTATCTGTGAGTTAGGTTAGAAAAAAAGAAGGTTCGTAATATCACACTAAACTGATCGCAAGTGAATACACTAGTGAAATATATAAATATTGCACTAGTGTTTCAAAAATTGCACTAGTTTTTCAAATATTTCACTAGTGTTTCAAATACTGCACTAGTTTATCAAATATGGCATGGAAACATACTGAAAACCCGTGTTTTAGATCAGTGATATTCTAATCGTTCTGTTACACATTAAAAAAGTCGGAGTGAAAGATCACTTTCAAAGACGACCTTTAAGTCGGCATTCAAAACTCAAAAGAAAACTCAGAACTTTTCATGATATGTGAAAATTCTGTGCAGCTACTCGCAGAGCAAAATTTCAGACAAGCATTGACAATCTCTTGGAGAAGTGCAGCTTTCGCAGATCTTTCAAATGCTTACCCACCTCTTAGTGACGTCGAACATGAGAATGGCGGCGTCTGCATTGCGGAAGTAAGACTGCGGCAGAGATCGGAACTTCTCCTGGCCAGCCGTGTCCCAACATTGCAACTCCACTCCCACCGCCTTGCCCCGTCTGCTAACTCGAAACTTGTGGCGGAAGAAAGACATCCCTACAAAAAGAACAACGACTTACTTCATTTGCTTTAATAAAGCACATTTTGAAACATTTATCGAGTCTCCAAATAAGTTATGCTAGATTTTTTCGTTCTTTTTTATTGATCAATGCAACAGAAAGGGAATAGAATTGTGAATTAACCTACACCAAAGACAGCCTTTGGCTGTGCTTACCGATAGTAGCAATAGTAGACTCTCTGAACTCTCTGAGACATAACTGGTTTAAGAAGGATGTCTTTCCCACAGACGGATCCCCACATAAGATCACTTTGAACGTGTACTCCACCAAGTTGGGGAACTGGTGCCAATCTAGTTCCACATAGTCTGCCTTCTCCCTCTCCGCCTCACTTCCGTCGTCTTCCATGGTACTTTGAGGGTGTGGTTGCAGAGTGGACACGCGTGATTCGTCAGTGTCTTCATCTTCTGACGTCACTGAAATCTGATCGTCCAAATCTGCAGATGTGTTCTCATTTCTGAGAACCCGTTTTGAGCCTAATTCTTCTCTTTTCGATGATAGCTGCCTCTCCTGTTGATTTCCAGTGGCACGAGATGGTTTCGCTCTATCAGACAGAATCTTCGGCTCCTCCAGAGTATGCAGCAGCGAATCACTGAACTGCTCTTCCGTTCTCAGCGCTGATTGGCTGAAACTAGTGTCCCTACTGTAGCCCTGCTGTGCAGTGTAGAATGTTTCCTCGTTGTTAGTTAAGGTGAGTGAATCGTCGTCAGCTGCCGTATCGAATGTCGAGTGACTTCTGTTGATCTTAGGGGTGCTGAACGTATATGAACCATCCGAAAAATGTGCTGAGCCTAAAAATTAGAACATCAATTTGATATTTGTATTTGCTGAAATAAATCTTTGCAAATTTACACAGAGGCAAAACTGCAACTTGCAGAGACAAGCAAGAAAAACGGCAATATGTAGCTTTAAAGTGGTGAGAATACGCCGGAAAAGAAAAAGGCCAAACAACACCAAGCTACCGTGGGAGTCAAACCTACTATTTGCTGCGGAGCCTAAACATTTATGATCACTGCTTATGTCCTTTTGATCACTCAGGCCTTATAACTAATGATTTCAAACATGGTTTACTAGAAAACACCAGACAGCACCGAATGCGACTTCACCGAGCGGATAAAACGCATGCTATCGAATCGCCTAATATAGAGTTGCATACAGCAGGTGTTACAGTGTTGCTTTAAATTAACCGAACAAAACGAAAATAATTGTTTTTCTCAAATTGGGTTAACATTAGAGAAAAAGAGAATAAAAGTTGCCTAGAATTTCACCTCATCATAATTAATACGATGCAATTTGTCTTTAACCAAAATTTTAACCTAAAAATGGATCATTTTGCGATTTTTCAGTTTATCAAGAATTACGCTTAATTCCTTAAGTTAATCGACTAAAAATTTTTATCGCAAGAAGCCCCCTACAAACCCAACAAATTTCTAGAATTCTTGAAAAGTCTATTAGAATTTTAATTGCTTTTTAGCCAAAATAAGGTCATTTTTACCAAAAATTTGTTCAGTTGTTTAGGGGGCTTCTTGCGATAAAAAGTTCTTATTGATAAGCTTGGGGTTCAAGCTTAATTCTTGATAAACAGAAAAATGGCAAAATGACCCATTTTTGGGGTAAAATTTTGGTTGCGATTTTTGCAAAACAAATTGCATCAAATTAATTCTGGTGAAATTTTAAGCAAATTAAGTTTTCTTCTATTTTGTATAATTTTAACTTAATTTAAGAAAAAACCGCGTATGAGGTTTCAAATTTTGTTTGTTTTGTCCGGATAATTTAAATCAGCACTGTATTGCCAGAACAAACTAACACAAAAAAGGCAACTTTGGAGGGAAAAATTGAGATAACATTATAACAGCAGCGTTGCTTGTGCTAATTTTACGCAAGGTCTAAAATTTCAGTTCCAAGTTTTCGAAGGAGATTAACAAATCACAGCCAACCTGGCGATCGGAATGACTGGGTTCTGCGTGGTGTTGTGAACTGATCTATGGCATGCACTCGAGCGGGCCCGTTACCGCCACTGATACACTCGTTACGTACTCGCTAAAACACCATAAGGGTCTGACTGGGACTAAAATAGTTTTCAACAATTTAACTCAATAATTAGCTTCATTAATGTCCAGAATAAGCATACCTTCAGTTCATTTTTCAGCTGCTCCACTTCCATTTCGTATTCACTTACTTTCGAATTCAGCAACTTCACCTCGTTTGATCTACGGGACTCAACGCTTGTTTTAGCCTGCAGCTCGTCCATCAGTTGTTCTCTTTCAGAACAAATAATATCAATTTTCTCTTCATAACTTTTGATACTATTCTGAATTTGTTTTTCATACTGCGCAATGACTTTACTTAAATCACTCTCTGCTGATTTCTGTAAGTCCATAAGCCGGTCTTCCTCTGAAAGGTTGAATTCCTTCAATCGTTGACTTTGTGCTTGAATAAGGCTCTGCTGATTGTCCATTTCCAGGATTATTTTCCCCACAAACGATTTAAACATGATTTCCAACGTGTTGTCTTCGTGCGCACGCAAAGCTGACCAGACCTGCAGCAGACTGTTTTGCTCTAGAGTCAGATCTTTTGTCATTCCTAGTTCTTTCATGTACTCATCCAACTCAATATTAGTTTGTTGATATGACATTGCCTCTTCGTTGCCCGCTGAAAACCAAAGATCAGTTATTAGAAAATCTGGTTACTTTAACTGGGATATATTACATTCTTCATTTGAAGAAGAGGAGGCGTAGTTGAAAAAAAAACTAACAGCTAGAGTAAACTTCGTACTCTTGAAGACTTCTATTTGGACCGCTGAAATGGTCGCCGCTTGAATCAAGGCTCATGCCAAACGAATGATTTCGGATAGTTACGTTGCTCAAGGAGGCAGGAGCAATCTGATAGCTGTTCTGCCACTCAACTGAGCTTCGCCTTGATAACGACGGCCCGCTTTCGCCAACAGTCTCGTGAAACTTTTCCATGAACTCATTTTTCGAAATAAATGTTGCATTGAGAGGAATGAGAGAGTCTACGATAGTCTGTGTATCAGCTTCTGACAAATTATACTGAAAATCAAAAATATGAATGATAAGCAGGTCCTTTCCAAGGTCAATTGACTATTGAATCCAAAACAGAAATGATTTTCGTATTAAAACTTCAGCTATTCAATAAAACCGAATTGGTGAAAATGGATTGACTACTTGAAACAAATTGTTTACTATTTAAGTGTCAATCCCTTCGTTGCCTAGAAAGACGCCAATATTTACTCAAATTTATTCACTAAAATTGTATTTCTTTGTTTTCTTACCGAAACGTACAAGCCTAATTGTTGTGATAAACTTACTAAAGAGCCTAAATGTTGTGATAAACTTATTAAATAGATCTCCTTTTCCTTTGTTCAAACCATGTGTTTTCAGATGATTTGAGCTAGAGGCATGAACATTTGATTAATTAAATTAGATCAAAGAATACGAATTTGCTCTACGACAACAAATACCGGTGGGAACGGGGGTACAGCAAATTAATGACAAAAACGGCTTGTGCCCATGTTGCAGCAGGAAAGTCACATATAGATCAAAGGGGGTTGAATGCGAGAGTTGCCGAAACTGGTATCATCTAAAATGCGGAAAAATATCCGATGACGTATACGCATCAATAACCGAGATAGTCTGGTACTGTGAAAGCTGCTGCCGAGCTAAGAACAAGGAGAAGGATACTCCCCAGGTGAAATTGTTCCTCAGGTATGTGGATGACATTGTTAGAACAGTCAGAGGGGAGCCGAGTTGTCTTCTCGATGCCGCCAATTCTCTTCATCCAAATTTGCAGTTCACTCTAGAGAAAACTAATTCGGAGGGGAATTTGCCGTTCCTGGATTTGAACATAAATGTATCGCAGGATAGGCGTGTAACTTGCAGCTGGTATCAAAAACCAACAGATACAGGGACTATACTGAACTATAGAAGCTGCGCCCCAACTCAGTATAAGCGTAGTTTTATCCAAGGCACTCTACACAGGGTTTTTAGGAGTACATCTAGCTGGAAGCAATTTGATAAGGCTATGGAAACTAGTAGGGCGCAATGGCTGACAAATCAGTACCCTGAAAATTGGTCCGCAAAGGTGGCTTCAGACGCCTTGTGCAAGATCATCGAGGGTAAAAGCAAGCCCCTGGATAGTGACAGGGGTTTGTCAGTTCAATCACCAAAGGATGAGAAGCCCCCAATGCTGATGATGCAATATAGAGGTAACCAGAGCCAATATTTTGCTAACAGGTTACGAAAATTAACGAACGTTCAAGTGGTTTTCACCACAAGAAAACTACAATCATGTTTACCATCACTGAAGTCAGCATTTTCTAATGACCTCAAGTCAAGAGTGGTTTATAAACTGTCATGTAGTGGATGCACTTCCACCTATGTCGGACAAACTGTTCGACATTTGACCACTAGAATTGAGGAATATAAGAAAGCAGACTCACCGGTAGGCCTCCACCTTCAGCAATGCCAACTTGAGGGAAATAGCGCAGATCTTAGTTGGGAAATTATAGATAGGTCAAACAACCAAACAAAATTGCTAACACTAGAGGCAATACATATCAGGAAAGAGAAACCGGGCTTGAACACGCGCGATGAGTTTAGGAGCAGGGAGTTAACACTGAAAATTTAGTCCCAAAATATTTTTGGTTTTTTATTCAAAACGTACATGTCTAAATCGAAATTATGACTCAGAAACTTCCAGACAAATTAATTTTAAAATGTTTAATTAATTTTAGAGGTTAAAAGTATTTTAATCTTAATAGTAATTTAGAGGTCAACTGGGATTGGCTAATTTTTTATCATGATGGTTTAGAACCAAATTGTATGTGATTTATTGTAAATAACATTTGTAAATTGATGTTTTATCGTCATTTAGAGTAGTTTATTGTAAAAATCCTGACGATGCACATAGTTGCGAAAACGTTTGAAATTTACTTTTTGGCAAAAATATCTTTAATTAAATTTACGAATACAATAATTTGTCCAAAGTCCCCCCCCGCCTCTAGCTAAGGGCGGGTGAAGATCTATCCCTCAATCTATGGTATTTGTTATCGGAGCTTCATCATTAGATCGAGCAATCGAAGTTGCGAAACACCCATTCAAAAACGACTCCCAGGAAAATACTTTACTGTCAATCCAGAGTGAAGAAACAAACTACTATTCAGCAATACCACTCGACAGGCAATCAGAGCAAAAAATAAATACTGGAAAAGTTTTGCGGAAATAGAACAAAAGTAAATTTTGACAACTATAAAGAAAAAAGAAATGCTGTTAAGACAGCTACTCGAAATGATCAAAGGGCAAAGGAAAGTGAAATAGCTAATGATGTGAAAATAAAACCAAAAAAAATCTGGAGCTCTGTGAGACAGAAAACCGTGTTACAAAATGCAATACCAGCTTTAGTGCAGGATGATGGATCTTTAACGACCAATGAGATCAAAAAAGTTGAAGTTTTGTCAAAGATCTTTTCATCAGTCTTCACACACGAACCACCGGGAGAATGGAAGATTCCAGAAGTGGATATCACCCATCCAATAAAGGACTTAGAAATAACAGAGAAATTGGTGAAAGAGCAACTAGGTTCAATACATCGAAATCTCCAGGGCCCGACGAAATTCACCCGAAACTTCTGTTTGAATTGCGAGATTTCCTGACTCAAGTTCTAACAAAAATTTTTATTAGAGCCCATCTTATGGAACATCTAGAAGAAAATGAAATCCTTGTAAACGAACAGTTTGGTTTTCTGCCGGTAGATCATCACAATTACAACTACTGAGAGTGCTGGATGATTTCACAAAAACAATAGATAGTCGCCGAGAAACGGATGTTATCTACTTGGATTTCGAGAAAGCGTTCGACTCGGTTCCGCACAAAAGACTGATAGGAATCCTAAAACAATATGGAATAAAAGGAAAAACACTGGTCTGGATCAACGAGTTTTTATTAACAAGACGACAAAGAGTTGTGATAAACGACAGTAGATCTGAATGGAAAGATGTTCTGAGTGGGATTCCCCAAGGATCTGTATTGGGACCTGTTTTGTTTGTAATATATATAAATTCAATGCCAAACACACTCAAATCAAAATTGTATTTATTTGCAGACGATGCAAAACTATACAGAGATATTACCAGTAACAAAGACGTTGAGTTGCTGCAAGAAGATCTAAGAAAACTGGAAGAATGGTCAAAAAATAGTCTTCAATGAAAATAAATGTGTAAATATGATAATCTCAAGTGGAAGATTAAATCGTGAAACAAGATTATATGAACTTTACGATAAACAGTTTGAAACGGTAGGAGAAGAAAAAGACCTTGGAGTGATCATCGATAGTAAACTCTCTTTTGACTCATATCTTTGCAAAAGTTAAAAAGGCAAATTCTATCCTTGCAGTTTTTAAGAAAACGTTCATTAAAATGACTATACCTGTATTTTAAATGTTTATAGAGGCCTCATAGGGCCTCATTTGGAGTTCTGTAATCTAGACTGGTACCCGCGATTAAAGAAGAACACAAGATTAATCGAAAATGTTCAACGACGAGCGACACGAATGGTACAAGGGCTGCAGACACTAAGATAAAATGAAAGGTCAAAAAACTAGAACTACCGTAACTTGAATACCGCAGAAGGCGAGCAACAATGATCGAAATGTTCAAAATAGGTTACCACCGTTATGACCCAAAAACTACAAAAGACATGTTTGAAATGAATAATCGTCACACAAGGACAAATGACAAAAAAGTGATAAACGAAGAAAGCCAACTTCGAATTGCGGAAAAAATGTTTTACCATTAGATCAGCTACAGATTGGAATATGTTGCCAGGAGAAGTAATTGACTCGAAGACCTTAAACGCTTTCAAGATCAACCTGGACAAATATTGGGAGAAAAGAGGAATTAATAAATTTGAGACTAATTAATCGAAAAGGAGTACATCACGAGCTGATCGATAGAGGCGACAAAACGCCTAAAAGATCAGAAAAAGAACTGAACTGAACTGAACTGAAGCATGGCTTTCCGATGAAGTTGATGATCCAGAAGTTTTCGTGGAGCACCAATCAAAGAGCCATCTAGATCTGACCGTGCTTATGGTCAACATGGTGGGTTAATTAAAGCTTATCGTGTTTCGTCCAATTTTACAATACAAGACCTATCAATCTATTGTTATTCTTTCAGCATTGCTCTAATAAGCACTTCGTATATAAATTTCTATGCTTTAATTTCTAATCCACCTTCATCTTCTCTTTAACGAAACGATAGTCTATCAGTTTGCTCATGTACTCATGTATCAAAGACAACAAAAATAAATTCAAACTGTTAACTCTATCACACGGACAAAATTCTTATAATATTTATTTTCTATGAGATTTTATTATGCTTGCTACAAATTGGGATTTTTTTTATTCTTCAAACAGTTCCAAATCAACTATTTTGGAATGTTCATCTGACATTCGGTTATATCAATTCATAAATGTACCTACTCAGGTTGATGGAAAAACCCTTGATATCATTTTCGCCATCCCCGATAAATTATCATTTTCAATCGAAAACATAGATATTTTAGACCAATTTCCTTTACCTTTCAATCTTCTCTACAAAAATCTCCTAATTCATATTCTTAAAGAGATATTTCAAAGTCTTCGTTTCCCCCCATTGTTTTCAAAAATTATTCTAGTATTGTTGTTCGGGTTTTCAACTCTATGTCTACCACCTGCCAATGAATTTACTTCAAATTGGTACAGTTCTTTACTGCATGTTTTATCAATTTCGGCTGACTCTAAATTTAGAAAACGTCTAGATAATTCTTACTATTACTCCTGTCACACTATGCACTTATTCAATTGTAGAAACACAAATTACCGCAAGTTACAGAAGCATTGGTTTTTATTTTTATCAATAAAACATCGTGATTTGAACCGCCAGTCATCAGAATCGATAGAACTTGAGAAATGCTTATTGGTAGATGAAGTCAAACTTTCATATTCTAAACATTGTTTTTAATAGCTTCGTTCATTCAAAGATAACCAACACTTA